CTCTCTCTCTCTCTCTCTCTCTCTCTCTCTCTCTCTCTCTCTCTCTCTCTCTCTCTCTCTCTCTCTCTCTCTTCTCTTTCTTTCTTTTTTCACTTTTCGAAAAGCCACCAGGCCTGGCGGTGGCCACTTTCTGAAGTTAATGGTCGTTACCAAAAGCCTCAAGGCGGCGGTACTAGGAATCAGGCTGCGTGAAATCGCTGCCTACCCCCACCATTTTTTGACCCCCTCGGGTTTTTAAAATTAATTTAAAAAAAAACAGAAAAATGCATTTGGGGAATACCCAACTACCCCTCTAGGGCCTCTACCACCCCACCGTTTGGTTGATAGGGGTTCGCATTAGCAGCTCAGTGGCAATAATGCATCTCAAAGCAGCAACAGCACAAGCAAAAGCATGAGACAGAAAGCATGAAGAAGAACAGGAAGGACAAACAGCAAGACGCGCCACTCAAAGCAGCAACCATACAAGCAAAAGCATGAGACAGAAAGCATGAAGAAGAACAGGAAGGATAAACAGAAAGACGCATCAAGTCTCCCGAACGCGACCCACATCGGTCATCATTAAAAGAAAAATTGTAACACAACCCATCAACGGACTGACATTGTGCTAAAATTGGCAAGGATAAGACTATCGTCAACATCCTGTATGCCAAGACAAAGATTGTCGTCAACACCTTGCACCTACTTGAAGCAGTCAGTCACAGGCGCGACCCTACGCCGAGTCGTTTCGGCCGGTCGCCAACTAGCCCTCATCAGGGGTCATTGAAGCCGCGACAATTGAGGAGGACTTGACCGTCAAACTACCTAACTATATAGTCCTACCTCAACTCGTTAATCGCCAGACCTCACCGCAAGTCATCCCAACTCGTCCGAGAGAAAACAGCCCAAAAGCAAGAAAATGTTCACCAACAGAAAGAGTATCCTAGCAGAGACAAAGGAGAGTTCCAAAAAAGATTTCTAGACAGTTCTATTCGTCTAGACGGTTCCTAGAGATTTCGAGATAGTTCCATAAGTCCAGAAAAAGACGAATCCCTCGAGGCTACCAAGAAGCTAGAAACGAGACTCTAAAAACAAACTTCAAGCGTTCGAGTCTTCATCAGAATCGGAAGAAAAGAGTTAGACAAGGTCAGAAGAAGTCCAAAATAGAACCAGTAACGAACCGTCCACAGGGAAAGCTGACAGATTAGAAACAGATTCCTAAACAACACCATACGCCTTCTCAGGAGCTACTTCAAGCTCAGGCGTTCGGCCCGCACACAGTATGACAAATAAGAGCCACAGAGTCCAGAAACCGTTCAATCAAGAAAAAAGAAGAGAAAGAAACAAAAAAAGGAAACAAAAAAGAGAAACAAAGAGAGAAAAAAAAAGAAAGAAAAAAGAAAAAAGAAAAAGAAAAAGAAAAAGAAAAAGAAGAAAGAGAAAAATAAAGAAAGGAAAAGAAAAAAATTTCAACATTGGCAGATGCCCACATCATTACTCTTCTTACCCCTTTCCAGTCCCCTCCTCTCTTCCTTCCCCCACTGCCCCCAACCTGTAAAGCGCACTACCCAATCATCCCATATACTTCCGAATTTGTTAGAGAAGTTCCTGAGAGTTGTGTCGAAGTAGTCGTCCGGGAAGCCTTGCAACCTTAATTCTATCTTCAACGTAAACAGAAATGCCGCCTCTGCTCCTCTCATCGTATTATACCTCTTCGCACGGTACAAAAACGAAGTGATGACAACCAACTTTTGCTGTCTGCTCGAGTATGTGATGTAGTCTCGCAAATTCTGAAACGTCAATGAACCATGCCTCACCCCTCCCTGATTCTTATGTGTAGCTGCACACAACACCCCATTTGGCCAATCTCTCACTGTAACCACACATACCAGAAAGTCCCAACAGGAGTCCTTGTCGGTTCTTTCAAGAATCAGATTGTCATGGTAAGAGCGCTTAAATCTCTCAATCACCTCCTCCGCCTCCACCTTCGACCTCGTTTCCTCTTTCTTGTACTGAACGAAAACTGAGACATCGTCTACAATACGAACACCATAGGCAAGCGTTCTGTCACAGCCGAGTGAATTCTGGAACTTAAACTCTGAGAAGGGAGACAGGAGGCAAGCTAGTGCAGGGCTTGAAGATTTGCCCATCGGTATTCCAATGCGCTGTCATAAGACAATTCCACATGCACTAACGTAAGTGCAATCCAACTCAAATTCCACAAATCGTATGATATCTTCAAAGGCAATACTCCTTCATCCAATCTGACCCTTACCCATTCTCATCTTTGCCCCTTTGCCTCTCTCCTGTATCAACACACCACTACTTCCTTGCAGAACCAAAAAGTCGCTCACCCACCGTACAACCTCGATCACAGCATCATGCGGTAAGTTGCAAAACATCTCTTTGATGTCAAAAGCTGCCGAAACAAAACCCTCGCCCTTCCTTAATTCTATGTTTGCGACCGCAATTCTGTCGATTAGCTCCTCCGTAGATCTCATATTGAAGTTACTCCTTGAGGGCAGATCCCACAACATCCTATTGACCGCTCTAGCCACTTGCTTGCTTGCTTTCACCCCACATTCTTCAAACGAAGGGCAGATTGGTCTCCACTTCCGAACGTCCTTGTGCTTCGGAATTACGTAACATTTACCCAATTTGCCCTTCGGATTCCATCTCCCCAATTTCTCATACCCCAACTCCTGATATTTTTGACCATTGTCCCTCTCCAACTCCTGTTCCTTTCTCTCACAAATCTCAAAACCGGCATTTCTTAGGAACATCTTCTTCATTCCTTCCCAATACACCGTCGGACAGCACACGAATGAGTCCCCCGGATTATGATCTATTGGGCAGCGAACCAGCCCGTCAAACCGTTCCCTCCATTCGGCCACTCCTGCCGTGTCAAAGCCCTCTTGATCATCACTCTTCGTGCTGCTGAAGCACTTCTCAACCATCTGCTTGGAGATTCCACGCCCAAACGCCTCTCTTGTAGTGTTGCAGAACTTCAACAAGGGATCAAACACAAATTGAAGCTGCTTCTTCAGGGAGCTTGCCGAGTGTCGATGCGCCGGTCTTGGAATGTTTCTGGCATTCTTAATCCATTCTGGTACAAAACTTGCCTCACTCAGTCTAAAACAAACGTGTCCACCCACTGTAGGAAATTGCCCCTCAGCCCTCGCGCAGCAGCATTCCAACTTCTCTTGCCGCGCTGCCTGCCGAAAATTATAAATCATGTCCCCCACGCTCGGATTCTTTCCAAACACCACCCTCATCCGACGGATCAACATCTGCTTCCACGCCTCAGACAGCTCAAGACCCTTCACCAACTCAGCACACAATCTTCGAACTTCCACCTTACACAGCGTTTCATCAAAGGTAACCTTCACAACCAATCGTTCCCTCACATTCACTCCTAACTTCCTCCTGATTACCCCGGACAAAATGCACCTCAGTGTGTACCTTGTACGCCTTTCCGAGAACGATCGAACAACCCCAAACATCCATATCAATTGCTCAAGCTCCCATGTGACCAAGTCTTTTCGGGAAGGGGGATAGCTCAACAATTCCCTCAACATCGGTTTAAAAGCATAAAGGGAAGAACAGAAGGAAATGATGGACACAAACTTCACAGTCATACCATGAGACAGTCGACCCCTTGCTTTTTTCAACTGCGCCGTTTGATTAGCTTCCACTGATTGATAAATAGTTGCCCACCAACACACTGAACCTCCAAACTTCCCACACCATTATCCCGACTCTATTTCAACAATCGGAACAGGTTAGTCGACAAGAGCCCATTATCACCTTTAAACGTCATATGCGTATTCTTCCCATCCCCCACCCGACATCCATCCCTACAACCATTTCTTGTCCTCTTCCGCCTCTCGCTCTTACCCACCCTCTTCTTTCGATATCTCCGAGGTCGTTCCCTACTATTCAGATGCGGACACGTACGTTTGATCACAAATCGCTCGAGGTCAAACAAATCGGCCTCTACACATTGAAACAAGGGAAGTGCAACATAACTTTCCGCTCCACATCTTCTAACCCATCTATACAACCGCTCGTTCCGAGTTCCAGATTCTACTACACCCCCCTCCTTCCATCTTACCTCCAACGACCTTGTCGTGGCCTCAACATAGACATGTTTTACCCACAGCGAGATCAACAAGTACACCAACGGTCCCTCACAATCTACCAAATTAGCCGTCACTTCCCGCAATCTCAAGAAATAATCCACAAACTTCAGTGCCCACGGTATCTGCCCCAGCAAAATGAAATCCAACACCGTGCGCCGATATGTCTCCTCCTTTTTACCGCAACGAGATTCACCCACGCATGTTTCCCTGAATTCACGAGCATGGTTCCAGCATACAATCGCGTTCGGGACGTGTCCTCATGCAGAATCCAATAGAACATCCTCCACTTCAGGGTCGACCTCCTTTTCCCCCTGACTCGTTGATGCCTCGGCAGTCCCTCCCCCATCATTTTCATCCACCACCTTCTTAGCTCCATCACACTTCCCTTTTCCAAAACGTGCATCTGCCCTTATCTCCGCAAGCTCGTCGGCAGTTGCGTCAATCGTCCTATAAACAATTCCTTCCTGTTTACACAGAGTCTCCAGCCCAGCCTTCTTGAGAGCTCGCAACTGCTTCCTCTCCATTTGCAGAAAGGTAAACCTGTCATTAACATCAATCGCAGAGCCCTCATCTTGCCTCATTCTTCCAGGCGTCATCCTTGGTCGGCCCCTTCTTTCTGTCTTCCGCCGACTTCCCAGGCCTTCCGCCAACTTCCCAGGCCTTCCGCCACTGCATCCAGTCTTGCTTTCAGGTTCGTTCCGTCAGTAGGTGCTACCACAGGCTCCGTGGTCAACTTCTCAACCTGTTCTCTCAATTTAGCCACTTCCGCTTCCGTTGCTAATTTCCTTGCTTCCGCCTCTACTCGCTTTTGCTCAGCATCCATCTTCCTTTGCTTTAGCGCTTCCACCTCCCGCAGATTGCATTGCTTTATGTCCTTTAGCTTCCTCAATTCTTCACGAAGAGCGCCTGTTGGTGATCCCACCATACGTAATCTGAATCGATTGCGATCATCAACCTCCGGTGTTGCAATTGAAATACATCCTCGTTTGTTGCCCGGTCGCAATGCTTCGTTCATCCACAACCGAGTTTCTTCCACCAACTGCTCCTTTTGTTTCCTCAGCGAACTAATCTCAACCTTCAGTCCGATCAGCAAATCCTTGTCTGCATCCCTGCCAGCGCGCAACTCTTGCATCTCATTCATCAAAACACTCAATCCATTCTCCAGCGGATCCCGTGTGACATTGATCTTACGCCTCAATTCTTCATTCTCTCTCAAAAACCTATCAACCAAGTTCTCATCACTCACAGTTCCTTTATCCAACCTCCTACGAAATTCCTCATTTTCCCTTCGGAGCCTCGCAACTTCGTCATTCTCTTTTTGTTGCCCACTTGTCTCGCCAATCGTTGATACCGACGCATTGCCTCCCGCAGGTATCACACCTCCATACAACTTCGCCAACCGATTCTCCAACCTTTCGCCAACTCTAGCCTCAAATTCCTCTCGCTCCCGCTGTTGTTCCTTCTTTCTTTTTTCTCTCTCCGCCTCCTCCTTCTTCTTCGCTTTTTCATCTTCTGCATTATCTACAAATGTTGCACATCTATCCAGCGTCTGTCTCCAATAGCCCGTTCTCTGATACCCTCCTACCCCCTGATTGTACGTCTGAGTAGGTGCCTGCACTGGAGGAGGGGGAGGGGGTGGTGGCGGGGGAACGTAAGCCGCTGGAGTCGTGGCCGGTGGTTGCGTAAAAAGAGGTGTTGTATTTGCTCCTGTTGCCAGTGCTCTTCGAGGATGTGGGCGTTCTCTCGAGAAATGACCTGGAAGCCAACAGTTGTAGCAGCTTCTTGCGAACGGAGCCGCCATCTTGAGTTCACCAATGGCACCAGTTAAGTGCAGCCACTCACCGTAGTCCTATTTCTATGGTGGTTACTAGCACGAAAATATGGTTGATAGGGGTTCGCATTAGCAGCTCAGTGGCAATAATGCATCTCAAAGCAGCAACAACACAAGCAAAAGCATGAGACAGAAAGCATGAAGAAGAACAGGAAGGACAAACAACAAGACGCGTCACTCAAAGCAGCAACCATACAAGCAAAAGCATGAGACAGAAAGCATGAAGAAAAAACAGGAAGGACAAACAGAAAGACTCGTCAAGTCTCCCGAACGCGACCCAGATGGGTCATCATTAAAAAAAATTGTAACACAACCCATCAACGGACTGACATTGTGCTAAGATTGGCAAGGATAAGACTATCGTCAACATCCTGTATGCCAGGACAAAGACTGTCGTCAACACCCTGCACCTACTTGGGGCAGTGAGTCACAGGCGCGACCCTACGCCGCGTCGTTTCGGCCGGTCACCTGCCGACCCTCATCATGGGTCATTGAAGCCGCGAAAATTGAGGAGGACTTGACCGTCAAACTACCTAACTATATAGTCCTACCTCAACTCGTTAATCGCCAGACCTCACCGCAAGTCATCCCAACTCGGCCGAGAGAAAACAGCCCAAAAACAAGAAAAAGTTCACTAACAAAAAGAGTATCCTAGCAGAGACAAAGGAGAGTTCCAAAACAGATTTCTAGACAGTTCCATTCGTCCAGATGGTTCTTAGAGATTTTGAGATAGTTCCATAAGTCCAAAAAAAAACGAGTCGCTCGAGGCTACCAAGAAGCTAGAAATGAGACTCTAAAAACAGACTTCAAGCGTTTGAGTCTTCATCAGAATTGGAAGAAAAGAGCTAGACAAGGTCAGAAGAAGTCCAAAATAGAACCAGTAACGAACCTTCTACAGGGAAAGCTGACAGATTAGAAACAGATTCCCAAACAACACCATACGCCTTCTCAGGAGCTACTTAAAGCTAAGGAGTTCGGCCCGCACACAGTACGACAAATAAGAGCCACTGAGTCCGGAAAACGTTCAATCAAGAAAAAAGAAGAAAAAAAAAAAAAAAGGAAA